TTCATGTTAAGAAATTTGTCTTAAACAAAACAGAATCATTTTTTTAGCGGAAAGATACCCGTATACCGTTGAACTTTTACGATCTTTGTAGTAGTACATATATGTTCCAATTTTAAACCTGTCACGTGACAAACAGCTGATGTAAGCGATGTCGCTTTGGCCGAAGTCAGTAGAGAGCCGATATATACAAGTGCAAACACCACAATGCACATTCATCAAAACTAATGCTGTTAAAAAAAAATTAAAATTGTATTCATTTTCGCTGAATAAATAAGGCGTATATTTCATGGGCATCCTTAACCTAGCTGCGTTCTGTTTTATTTGTTGTAATTATAAATCCTTTTTTAATAGTTCATTTTGCACCTTTATTGCAATGTTAATTGGTATCCACCGCAAGCCTTCTGGTGACTAAAGATAAATTGAGTTTTAAAAAGAAATCAAAGAATTGATTAACAAATTTCTTTTGAATACATATTTCAATGTAAGTAGAAAGTCTTCTTCAGTTTTGTTCCACGATTGATCGATCCATTGTTCTCTCGCTTGCCTGCGATCGCCGACGGTTCAATACAAATACGTATCTAGGTCAAGACCTTCGCTGTCGATTGTTTATCTATTCCCTCCGACAAAAAAAATAGTTCGGAGTGAAGGTTGCTTTGTATATTAATTCCATTCAGAAACTTCAATTTTATTCATGTGCACTCATGAGAACACTACTTATTGCTTGAAAATCGCATTTAATTTTAATTTCAATTTTTTTTAATTATAGAAACACTGATTTCAATGCAAAAATAAACAGAGGACTTTATTTCTTATTGAATTTTTATTAGAATTTCACGTTTTAATTTTTCCAATCAATCTTGTAAGTACTAATGTTTACATATTAGAAACTTATCTTTGATTTGTTCCTTTTTTAAGGTATCATATGTTAATATTAAATTAATGTATTATAATGAAGAACGAAGATAAACAAGAAATTTGAAATGGAAGTGATTAGAGGGGGTGCCATTGAAGCTGGACAACAACATACGAGGCTGACTTACGTCACGTCGAACAAGAAAATCTATGAATTTTGATAATACGTAATTATTGGCTGTTAAATAATGAGTGTTGGCTACAGGATATTTTGCATATTATCATTGTACCATACTATTAGTACTTTAAGAATCAAATTTTGAAATATTGTTGTGCAAATTTCCGATATATCCTGTAAAGGGGCTGAATGTTCAAGTTAAATGCTAATGGGCAGCTGCTCTAGATGATATATGAAGATAACACGGACCTCTAAAAAAATCAGAGGTGGGATCAGGTGCCATGAAGAAGTAAGCATCTCCTGTCGACCGGTCACATCCGCCGTGTGCTTCTTGTCATGATCGGGCAAACAGAGAAATCCGTAAAAAATCAAGTGTGAAAATAATATATAAAATAAAACATAAACTTTTATAACATATATAAAAAAACGACAATCAACATTCGACATAATGACAGATTGTACTTGCTGACAAGGTCATTATATCGACTGTAGAATTTGCGAAGTATTGAATTTGAAGGAAACTGTTGATATCCTTGCATCATCAACTTATTTGTCAATACCTTGCCTAGTTTAGAAATTGTAGAGCATGATCTTGCGTATCGAATCAACTGGGGGACATAATCTATGCAGGTGTTGATGGTATATTGCTACGTAAATGAGGGAAGTTGACGATAGAAAAGATGAAGTCATCACGACCGGGGTAACCTAAATTTGGCCCTTTCAAAATAAGTGATTTAAGTCCTCATTATTAACTATATTTGCATCATCAGTGATGCCGTGTCCAGCAGGACTACAGTTGTAGGGTGAAGAACATGAACAAATAGGGAGATTATGTTCAGATGTTCGATATCTATGCTTTCATAATTAAAGAGTTTTGAAGCAATAGTCGATGTAAATTTGAAAGAAATACAAAGTTTGGACTTCAACTTAAAATTAGATGGAATGCAAGACTGAACCCTTTTGTGCTTAAGAATATTACTGATATTTACTGCATCAATTCCTTTGTTGGAAAACTGAAATTTAAGGAAAAAACGGGTTGCTTGAGCAGTATTCTCTTCGTAGCGGTTCAAAAACCTATGATTTGCACTATCTATAATCACATATCTAAGCCTGTATTTCGATGTCAAAGAATCCAAATATGGACTTTCCTTGACCTTTTCAACTAGACCATATAAAAGTTTCAAAGGGACATAGCAAAGTTTAGTGTGAATGTGATGAAGACCTAACTGCTTAGTATGAGTCAACGGAGACATTGTGTATAATAGGTTTATTGTAAGATCGATGTCCATGACTACGCTTACGTCTCTGGGTTTTGTTAAAAAGTCCCATCACATTCACATTGCTAGACTGTGGACTTCCCAATAAAATCGGTAATGTCATAGCTAACTTATTGAAAGGCCTTGCCTAGTTTTCTAATTCAGTATTCTTCTAGTTGTCTACGGAAAGGCGTACTTAACGAAGTTCGCTCCTGAGCTTTTGAGCAGATTTTTGTCTTAACCTATATTTAAAAAAATTCTGCATAATGTTTTAGTTCTTACAATAAATTTGGATTCTACAGTGCTACTTACACTATATTCAGTTAAAACTCCTTGAATAAATTCCAAACCAAAAGCATCAAGTGATGAACTATATTTTGTGGCGGAAGGTTTTTTTTTTAGAAGAAAATGATCATTTTTTCTCTTTCGAAGTATTTTAAGTATGTTAAGTTTGGATTCCTATTTTTCCATGCAGCCTGCAAATAGAGTTATTCTGTGCCGTGAACTGTTTTATGCTGGTCCTAACTTATATATTAAATAAACTATCATGAATTCCAACATCATATTTGATAAATATAGCAAATTATATTGTGAAAATCCAGAAAAAATAGCCCTAATTTAAGCTGAAAATGAGCACTATTTTAGCAATATCTAAAATTTAACATCACTGACCCCCACTTTTAATTTTGTTTTCTGAATATATAAGATTCTTTTAACTATTTCTTCTTAAATTTAGTAAAATGTCATTACTTTCAAATGATTTTTTTGCTTGTTAAATTTTTAATGCCAGAAAAATGATATTTTTTGGAGTGTAAAAAGGTCAAATGATTAAACATTGGAAGTAATTTTAAAATTTTTGGTCGTCAATAATTTTAATGTGTCTATTCAAGATGAAATAAGACTGTGTTTGTTCCTATAATTTATTTGAATGAAAAATATTGGAGGAAAAACTTTAAAAATTGAATTATGTGTAAGACGTATTTACAGTGGAAAAAGGTCAAACTAAATGCTCTGTAGCGCCAAAAGAAGCGCATTGGGCCCCATTTTTTGTTTTGATTTTTAATTAAGCTATGTGTGTAGACTCTAAAAACATACTTGATAAAAAAACGTCATTACTTTTGATGGCAGGATCCAACTTCCTTAATGATAGGCTATTAGTATGATGGAAATTTTTTTCTAGAATTCTAACTTTCATTGACAAAAAAGAATGGTCAGGTAAATAAAAGTGATTGTAGAGAAGCTGCTGGTCACTGTTGTTAACTTGAAATCTATGCCCCGATATCCTTTTATTTAGTGAACACTTGGTATCACTTGAAATATATGCCCCGATATCCTTTTACCGGTATTAAGTGAACCCTTGATATCACCAACATAAGGGTACATTCCATTTCGTAGTCAATATTGAAAATCTGCAGTTCAGATTTCCACAGATGTTGGTACAGAAGCTTTGCCCTTTAAAACTACTAGTGAAAGAACAGCTTGTAATCAAATTATTACAAGTTTTACCATTTTTGGCAGACCATTTGAAATAGATGACATGGGATCAAAAAGGACTCTTCAAATATATCTATAGAAGCTTTACATTCCTTCAATTATACAAACTGTAGGTTTTATATAAAAACTGGGAATCTGAAGACTGCACGTATGGCATATGTTAAATATCCTGGAGGATAATCCGAGGGACACTGATTGAACTCTTTGAGTAAGTGTCTCTTATTGACTCAAAAGAATGACGCATTCTTAGATGTAAGATTTTAGACTTTTTATACATGCATACATGTACGCAGTTGAAGATGCAGCACTTTTAAATCTGATATATAAAATAATCAATTTATGTTAACACGCTAGACATCTGTTAAATATAAACTTTTATAAATATCCTAGAAATATTTTTCAAATATATCTCTGTCATATTTGAACCATATACTAAATGAAAAGGATATATCTTTGCAACAACAGTACCATTTTAAATAAAATTTTGACAGTCGTTTTTAATACAAATTGTTTTTTTTTTTGTGATTAAATGGGGACACCCTACAAACATTTTAGGAAAGAAATTTGTTTCAAAATTTAACTAAAATTTGAAGATCCAGACATATTTAGAGCATTAGCAATAATAAGTTCGTGGATCTGTGGATCAGGAAACAAAGTTACTAACATGTTAATTTATCTTTTTTACCTTCTGTACTTTCTTCTTTTCATCCTTTAAGGCCTCTTGCTCTCTTTTGTACTGGGACATTGCCACCCCCATATCTATGATATCAATAGTTAACTTCTTTGAATTCAACAATCAATGACATGCATTTCAAATCTCATGCATTCAACAGGATAAAATTCTCTCTCTCTTCAAAGTTTGTATTCATTTTGTTTACTTGCGTGTGTATAAACCATAACGATCTGAGAATCCAGGCTCATTTGCCAGGATAGAACTTCATGCATTATGCACATACACTAACGCATACGTGGCATCTTATTTCTTCTAGTTTTTTAAAGCATCAAAAATTTAAAAATCAAGACTTTAAGAAGATAATTTAAACGTTATCAATTTATACATAATAAACATAAATAATAATAAAATAAACATATAAAACCTGACACTTGGCATTCCTTATGTGTGCATGGTTACCAACATGATTCATGCATAACAGCGACATCTGTTGTCCTAACATGTTGGGGCCCATTGAAAGACACATACTCAAGTGAAGTCTAAAAAAATGGCGTCTGATCAGGTTAAAGTGGCAGTACGGATAAGACCATTTGTATCCTTTTTATGGTTAGCTTTTCTCACAAAAAGCATTGTCCTACGCTAAATGTCCTTTAGACAAAGTTTTTCTTAATTATAAAGAATCCTCTGGATATTGGTGAGCACGAAAACGTTCTTCGTGTAGTCGGACAAACAATATCCATACAGGACTATGGAGTCATTAAAAACAGGGATTTTAAATATGATTACGTATTTGCTCCTGAAGGACAAGGTAATCGTGATGAAGATCAGGTAAGATTAATTTTTTTTCTTTATTGTTTTATTTATTGCGAAAGTATATGCTTGTTTCAGCAAAGTATATATAGAAAAAATGAGCCTTCAGATAACTTTAAATTTTTTTTTTTTTTTGAATATTACAGAGCCAAAAACGTTACGTTTTTATTTTTATATCTATTTCAAATGCATTTTACTGTATTGAAAAAATATTTTTATTAAGTGTATTGCATGTTTAAAATGCCCAAATACATGTGTAACTCATTCATGTTAAAGAAAAATGGAATTTTGTTTTAAAAAATTTTAAATATGAATATTTGGGAGTTTTCCTAAGAAGTATTTATAAACAGGAAACAGAAGTTAAGACAAGTGTCCTTAAATTTCCCCCTTACTTTCGTGTTTCAGAGGATTTTAAATCCTATTGAATTTGTTGCTAACAACTTCTTTAAGAAGAGTGAAACTGCAACCATGCACTACTAAATAAATAAATAAATCTTATCCATTTACCTGCTACACATTGTAATACATACAAAAGTCTGAGTTTTGAAATAGCTTAGCTCGGCGTAGTGTTCATTCGTGCTATGTACGAATTCAGTACCTGTATGCTTATTTGGGTGCCCAGGTGTATACAAACTTAAATAATATTAACTTTTGCTGTAATTATCACTAATTCAAAGACATTGTTTTGTTATGCTTGAATTTTTGTTATGCTATAATAAGAAAGTATATTCTGAGAGGAAAAGAACAGAAAATCTCCGAAAAAAAAAGTTGACGAAATGGGGTATTCGGAAGGTTTTTCTTACCAATTTCTTCCTTAAGAGGTCATTTATTTTCATTTATCTTTAGCTGACTTTCGGTTATGAATGGAAATTAATGATACAAGAAAGCAGAAGGAGTTTAAAAAAAAAATACTGGAAAATGTCCCTTGGAAAAAAGCGTGAAATGTTGTACCCCCTCCTCCCCATATGCAAAAAGTGTCACAGTTATTATTGATCTACAATTTTTTTTTATGTTGACATTTGAAGCACAAGAGCAGCACTTTACACATCCTTTTTTATACACCGAATTGAAATATATACGAAACATAACAAATCAATATTCCTATTTTCATTTTGAACTCATTCTCCCGAGCCACTAATTAATAATTATAATAATTTTAATATTTATTTTTAAATTGAGTAAAATAAATGCCAAAGATGAATTTTGCAGTCATTGTTACTTGAATACTATCCGATCTTTTCATGTTTTTTAGAGGAAAATATTCCATACACTTGGACTTGATTTACTAGATAATGTTTGGGACGGTTATAACTGCACAATCTTTGCATATGGACAGACGGGGAGTGGAAAATCGTACTCACTCATGGAGTATGGAAAAAATAAAGGTAATGTAACACATGATAAAACCATATATGTAATTCACGTCTGGCCTTTTTTATTCTCGATTCGTCACTTTGAAATCCTTAAGCGACATTTTTTTTTGTAATAAGGAAACTTTCAGCTTGAATATACAACTTAATAAATTGTTCGCGGGGATAATTATATTTGCGAGAAAAGAAGGTAACAAATTTAACAATTTAATAAAATAAAAAAAAACGAAAATAAACAAACAAAAAACAAAAACTAAACCAAAAAAAAAAACAAACAAACAAACAAACAAAAACTAAACAAAAAAAAAACAAAACAAACAAACAAACAAACAAACAAACCAAAAAAATAAATAAATAAATAAAAAATAAAAACACACACACAAAAAAATAGAAAAAAAAACATGGCCTGTTTTATGTTCCTATGAAACAGAGTTTATTCAAAAACTTCTACATGAGAAGAATAAAACACTTGCTAGACCTTCAACTCGACATTCAGATATACATGTATCGACGACTTTTTTCCAAGTAACAATAGTTAATTCCATTCATTTGTCCACTCGGTATATATCCCAGTGAACTTAAAAATGAAAGACAATACAGATTCTCCCACATCAATTTCATCTCTTGATGATTTGCTGAAAATACACGATAGGCCAAATTATATGTATGACAAACGAGATGACTTCAGCTTTTCCAGCATCATCTTTCCTTATTTATATAATAATACTCCGCTTTCACCTGTATATGGTGTTAAAAGTCTCCAAACTCATTCGTTATTTTAAGACTATGCTCTCAATTTTTAAACCGGAGCAGGCTAATGATAGATAAGTTAATGTAACAAGGATTTCAAGAACATCGTTGAAAGTCTGCATTTCGTAAATTCTATAGTCGATATGATGACCTTCTAAGCAAATATAACCAATCATTGGATCGTATTTTGACTGACATATTTCATACCCATTGCAAGGCCTTGTTGTTACACTAAATTTGACTGCGGACTTTTCCGTCTATCTGATCATTACATAGGGCTTACAGCGGGTATGACTGGTTAGACCGGTAGTCAGGGGATGCTTACTCCTCATAAGTACCTGATCCCACCTCTAGATTATTTTATGCCTTGTTCACAGATTTGTATTGTTTTTAGATTTTTTAAAGATTGTTCATTGTTCGTTCTCTTTATCTTTTTTCATTGAAAATTAAAATGGTTTACAGTATCTTAACCTTCAAGTATTGTAGCATTCATGTTTTCACTCTTTTGCTTGTCTAATATCTTTGCACATATCCAAATAATCTTTAAAAGATATTTTCTGATCTTTGCTGTTCAAAAACAGTTATAGAAAAGAAGCACACAGTTAATAATACCATAGCTGTAGAGATCGACCTTTTATCATTTAAGACCTCAATAAAAACTATTAGTTTTGCTTGTATGATACTTGCACTAAACGTTTACCTGTGTAACAATCCTCTTCTAATGAATAGATTGACATAAAATATGCATGTAAAATCTTCATATTTATTTTATATATATATATATATATATATATATATATATATATATATATATATATATATATATATATATATATATATATATATATATATATATATATATATTATACTAAAGGCAAAAACCTTTGATTTTTTTTAATTTGGCTTCATATTAAATCACTCTCTTCCGTAAGAAATACAAGCTTCAAATTCCTATCTTGAACTTACTTTGGCTCAATCTGCAGTAATCTGCCTAAAGCTAATGCTTATCAATACTCTCTTTGATCTGTCGCTGAAAACAGGCTTAATGTATTATTTTACAGTTTCAAATATAAAATATATTACGTTTTCTTTCAGATTGTTTTCTATTATCATTTTATTTTTGTCAAACTTATTGATTTGGTTCTAAAATTTCCTGAACAGCTAGTAAAAGGCTAGTACATACATAGCTATTTGATTATAAAAAAGGATGGATAATCATGAATAATTATAGTTAGATGATTGTGTTAATTTTCAAGACAACTTTATGCACATAAATCATTTTTATTTACAGGTTTTGTTGCCAGGTTTGTCGAAAATCTTTTTGAACACATTGAAAAAGAAGATTCAGTTACATGCAAGGTATTTTGATATATTTACATTTGCTGTGTTTTTCTACTAAGCCAACTGTGAAATTGATTTGAAAGTCATTTTTGTGTATACTCACGCGTAGAAATATACACGGTGAAACTCGCGCTATAGTGACGTCACATTGAGGCTACAGAGACGTTAATAAAAATGTAACGATATAGAGCAACAAGAAAGTCAAATATTGAGTATATTATTGGTGCTTTTAAGCTTGTAAAATGTAAATATAAGGAATTATTTTAAGTTTAGTGTGAAGTATTGGTGTGTAAATCACACAGACTTGCACGTAGGCATATTTTTTATGAAGCGCTTGTGCGCTTCATGAAATATGCCTACGTGACAAGTCTGTGTGATTTACACACCAATAACTCACACAAAACTTAAAAACATTCCTTAAATATAAGCTATGTAATTATAAAATATATAAGCAAGACATTTTTTTACTAATACTGCAAGCCTTCAAGTTATTGAATAATATACATTTGTATAAAAGGTAAACCTTGGTATGTTAGAAATATACAACGAAAAGGTGTATGATTTGCTGAGTGATAGTAAATATCGATCTCCATTGAAGATTAAGGAAAGAGGTGACGGATGTTTTGAAGGTATGGCTATATTTAAATCAAATATACTTCAGAATATTTTTGTTTGTCTATAGTCAGAATATTTAGTCATAATATTTTACATCTGTGTTTCATTATTTTAAATGTTGTATGAATGTGTTTACAATTAGCAAACAGATTGACAAAAATAAATGTAACAGAGAAGACTCAGGTGCAAAAATGGATAATGCAAGGGTATACAAATAGATCAATAGCTGCAACCGAGATGAATGAAACAAGCAGGTGAGAATATTCTGAGAGAGAGAGAGAGAGAGAGAGAGAGAGAGAGAGAGAATTATGTAAATATCCAATTAAGAAATCTCACAAGTGATTTTAGGATATGATCTAATCTATGATCGGGTAAATTGTTTAAGGGTTTTTATTATTTTCTCTATCGTTCACATTTATCTAATGGCTCAAACTAAATCACATAACTTAGTACAAACATCTGATCATCTGGGTATTTCATGTTTTAAGCTTCTAAATAGCCTTTTGATTTGGTGTTCGGTCGATATGCTTTCTCTAAGGCAAATATATCTAGGGATTGGCCTCAAAAAAGATTATATTTCTATAATATTTAAGCAAAGTAATTGCACATCATCTTACATTGCAGTACATAACAATAATAATTATTGACTTACATGAAACGTGAGATAGCTAGAAAACATACATTTTTATTGAAAACAAACCTTTCCAGTTTCATTGTTTTACTTTAGTCGGGCACACACAATCATTGCAATCGGGGTATGGATTATGGATAATGTGCACAAAGTAGAGAAAACGTCTACCATTAATATTGTAGACCTTGCAGGAAGGTAAAAAGTTATGTACTTCTGTTTTTAGCTCACCTGGGTTCAATTTTATATGATTAATTCGAAAGTTCTTGCATGAGATAACATTCATACAAATCGTTTAAAAAAAGAAAAATAAAACGAAAATCAATCAAGGATTTCAAACAAGATATAGATTTGTTCAATTTTTAACTTCGCTATTATATAGTGTGAATTTGTGGCCTTTAATTAGTCCTGTATCAATTCAAATTATATTGGCCTGAAAACGTATTTCTTTTGCAACCTGTCTGTTACAGATACGCGACCTTTATTTAATGGACTTCATAATTAACTATGAATTTTCTTATTTCTAAGTGAAAGAGCTAAAAAGGCGAACACTTCAGGGAAAAGATTCACCGAGGGAAACAACATCAACAAATCGTTGCTTGTTCTTGGGCAAGTTATAGAAAGTATGTTTGTAACACTTTACAACCTATTCCGAACGTGTGATAAAAAGTTTAATAAGAAGCATAGTTTTGGAGATCATCTTCCAACAATCTTTTGGAATTCCCATTGGTGCTAATTGCGCCCCGTTATTAGCAGACATTTTTTTGTATTCAAATGAAACAGAATTTATTGAAAAACGTCTATATGAAAAGATATCTCTTGCTGTGGCCTTTAATTTAACGTAAAGATATATATCAACGACGTTTTATCAATTAACAATATTCATTTTCATTCCTTACTTTGATTCGAAATATCATATATATATATATATATATATATATATATATATATATATATATATATATATATATATATATATATATATATATATATATATATATATATATATATATATATATATATATATATATACAATATATATATATATATATATATATATATATATATATATATATATATATATATATATATATATATATATATATATATTAAACAAATATAAAAAGAAAACACAAGAATCCTCCGTAAAGCTTTAGCGCTTTCATTAAAAATCTTCAGAAGCTTTACATTACAAAAATGTATACAACGGTAACATAGTAACAATGATTATGACGTTAAACTAAGCTTAGTTTAACGTCATAATCATTGTTACTATGTTACCGTTGTATAAAGCTTTACGGAGGATTCTTGTGTTTTCTTTTTATATTTGTTTAATATTGTAATCCGATTACTGAGACTTTATTTCAATTTTGGATATATATATATATATATATATATATATATATATATATATATATATATATATATATATATATATATATATATATATATATATATATATATATATATATATATATATATATATATGGATAATTTTCTAGATTTAATTAGACATTAATGACCAAAAAAAAAAAAGCAAGTTATTGACAAATAAATTGATACAGGAATATCAACAGCTCTCGTTTAAAGTCAATATTTTGGAAATTCTATGATCGATACAATAACCTAGTTATCGACGAGCATTCTATCCTTAAGTCGAATGTTGACTGACGTTTTTCATACAAAGTGTTATACCATTATTATCACACTAAATTGTCTAAGGATTTTTCCGTTTGCCCGATCATGGCAATGAGCACAAGGCGAGTGTGACTGGTCGACAGGGGATGATTACCTCTCCATGCCACCTGATCCGACCTCTGATGTTTTTAGAAGTCTGTTTTGTTCTGCTTCCAATTTGTATTGTTTCAATGGACTTCTGAGATTGACTACTGAACCTTATCTTCCTATTTCAACGTTTAATCAAATGTTAACGTTAATTTCAACCTAACAGCAAAATTTAATGATAAACGTGATGACTTTAACTTTTCTGTCATTTACTTCCCTTATTTATGTAGCAATAATACATTATCACCTGCATATGGAGTTTATGTCTACCAGTTGATTCGATTCGCAAGAGCATGCTCTACGTACGAACAATTTCTAAAACTATGCAAGGTATTGACAAATAAGTTGATGAAACAAGGATCTCAACAGTCTCCTTTAAAGTCAACAGTTTGCAAACTCTACGGTCTATACAATGACCTTGTCAGCAAATGGAATCTGTCATTAAGATTGTTAATTAAGAATGTTGAATTTTTTATACAAACTTTTAGGCCATTATTTCCACACTAAATTGTCTACGGATTTTCCCGTTCGCCCGATCGTAACAAGGATCCACGGCGATTATGAGCGATCGACAGCGGATGCTTACTCCTCTCTGGCGCCTGATCCCACCTCTGATATTTTAAGAAATCCGTATTTGCTCTGTTCCCAAAATGTTTTGTTCCAACTGACTTCTGAGCTTGATTACTGTATTTTATCCTCATATTTCATGTAAATCTCCGCACATATATTATATAGTAATATACTTGCTCCTCAACATATCGTGAGTCACACTGTCTAACTAGGGACAAATTGTTTTTGGAATCAAAATAGAAAGCGATGTTTTTGCTTTATATAGTTTATTTTGCATTAATGTCTAATCTTTCTAAAGCAATACTAAAATACCGTCTTGTTATTTTTGTTACTTTGTTTATGTTATTTCTTCCATGGCTAAGAAAATGTATGGAAAGAGAAACCCACTAAAATTAGATTAAATGTATGAAGAATATTTCAGTTTGACTTGATTGTGTAATGATAAAGAGTCATATATAATAGACATTATTAATGTACATTTGAGGTATTATGGCATATGTTGCTAAATAAAGGAATATTAGTATATTAATGATTACAGGTACACATGAAGAAAATACTAGTTTGCTAGAGAATAAATATTAATCTATTTGTTCTTATAAGAAACTTAACAATGCCACATCTAACAAACGTTCAGAAGTTCGTTCAAAAACGATAAATCAAGTAAATTTGGTTTGAAACTAACAAGTTTATACCGCATTAAGACGCGGGGATAGAAAAAAAGGTTTATGTCACTTTTTGTGCCCCATAGATTGCTTTGATGATGAAGCAATACAAAGGAACTTTTCTTCAATGTTTCCTAGCGTGAGACAATCCGATAGTTTAATGCCTTATTTTTCACTATTTTAAAAGAAAATAGTTTTTTTTAATATGTCGCTTGTGGAAGTTGTTAAACATTTTAATGTAACACACACAACACAAAGACTTCTGTATTTGAAAATAGTTTTAGAAAACGATAAAGGTTCTACTAAAGTAAAACTTTCGTCTGTAAAAAGGGTTTTAATAGTGTCCAAATTTTGTTAATGTTCTTAATTGCTGTGGCCTGTGAATTTCACCCCAGCAAACCATGTTATGAACTTGACAAAAACTGTTTGATTCAACAGTTTTCCTATTAAGGTGTATTATTCATACAAATTAACAAATTAAAATGCACTTCGCTATATAGCATATTTTTTTCAAAAAAAAATAAAAAATAAATAAATAATAATAATAAGAAATAAAATAAAATCTAGCCCTTCTATATTTGTATATTCAGTGGCAAAATGATATTCAATGTATTACATATGTTTATAAGTACAACCTAGCATTCAAACTTCTTATTACAGACACTAAAACTAAATATTTAATATCTATGTTCATGTGTAACACAAACTTTCACATTCACTTTAGTTTTCAGTGGTGTCAAGTCAGTTTATTGTCTATCTTATCAAAATGGCTGAATTCTAGGGAGTCTGCACATTTGCTATCTTGCACATCATAAACATATATGACATTTTTTGGAGAAAATCTGCCATTACAGAGTATTTTAATTTATAATTTTGCAGGGGTGTTACTCTAAGGCTTCAACATTTAGGAACATAACAAATTTTGGCCACTGTTAGATGTAAAACGGTTTCTACAAACACAGATATGCCTAAGAAGAACCTTAAGTAGCACGATACAGGAGGCACCGGCCTACCTTCAGTTTTCTATGGCGCTTTTCTATCGAGTGTTGATTAAACAACGTGACTTTGGTGACTTAGAGATTTATGACCATATGCTTAGTTTTATGTTTCCTTCAAAATTTTCAATCTTAAAATTATAACAATTTTCCTTACAATTTACCTCATGTTAAGCACTAGATTTGCTAGTTTTCATTTTTATTTCTCTCTCAATATAATGTGTTCGTTAGCCATCGTCCGTATTATTAAAACTTACATTATTACCTCTGGACATTATGTAGACAAATTGTATGACTAAACTTAGCAATTGTTTTAACTCTTAAGAAGTTATTTTTGATCTTTCGTTAAGGCTTATGGTAAGAATAAGTCAATCTTTTCTTGCAATGATATGTTACCATAGTGTGTTTGAGGAAGAACCATGCTTTTGACTGAAATCACTTAAAAAATTTGATCAACATCAAATTTATTAGAGGAAAAAATGTCATCGTCTAGGATTGATGGCCTATAATATATATATATATATATATATATATATATATATATATATATATATATATATATATATATATATATATATATATATATATATATATATATATATATATATATATATATATATATATATATATATATATATATTATTGCTTAAAATAAAGCAATAAAAATGACCAACGACACGAACAATTAAAAGTTGTCAAATTTTCGGAACGCCCTGTCCCTTTCTCAGGACAAAGACAAAAGTTAAGCAATCATAAAAAACAAAGGAAATAGAGAAAAAAAAATTAATAAACAAAACAAAACAAATAGCACTACTACTAAACTACCTAACACTATATATTTACAATATTTTTACAATGTTACATGTTTTTAATTTGAAGTTTATAACCAGTTGTAAGGAAAGAAATCCAGACCGCTATCAAATCCGTCCGGTCTGTCTTGTGTACTCTGGTGAAGTGCAATTTACATAACTGAACGGATTAATTATCGCTAATTAAATACGACCATGTAGTTAATCGTACACTGTCTTGTTCTCTCAAAATAGCGTAACTCTACATGATAAAAGAAACCAAAGAAAGGTAATATAGAAGGGAAATTTTAAAATATGAAATTGGATCTATTATAAATTTTGAAATGTTTTGAGGACTGTTTATCGGATAAAAGAAATAATAAACAAAAATGTAAGCAAAAAATATGTGTGTGGGTCGTTCGGGAATTGATAATGCGAATTATCTGTAAAGTTTACACTATATGGAGAGAATGTTCTTGTTTGTGACAATCAGGAATTTGATCTAGTTCACGTTCATCCTGGTAAAGTCATTTAGTTGGTTCGGATTTCTTTCTTTACAACTGGTTAGAAACTTCAAATCAAACTTGTAACATCGTAAATATATAGTGTTTGGTAGTTTAGTAGTAGTGCTAGTTTTTTGTTTCTCTAAATTCTTTTTTATGACTTCTAAAATTGCCGCGCAATGCATATATTTACATAATTCTTTGTTTACTCGGAGTGCTGCCACAGAAAATTTGTCTGACGAAAAAGCAACCTCCACCTCCACTCCATCCTCCACATCTTTCAGTTAACAAATATGCATATTTCTCTGACATTTTCATGCGTTTTTTATGCACCACTTTTGTTTCCAATAAAGTTTGATGTATTATATCGCATTATCGCATCTTTGTGTTGTAACAATATTGTGACTGGGAGACCACTGTTGTGTAATATTTTGGTAACTTGCATTTCTAGTAAAGAAACAGTTTATATGTCAACAAGCTTTCCTTGAGGCTGGTATGTCTCCCAGCCAAATTCTTTTGTAATTGTTTTATGGATTACATTTTTCGTCATTTAAATAAATGACAAGTTTTTTTTTTACACTTAACATGTTTTCTGTTATAAATATTTGAAACAAACAGAGCTCTATGTTGCCTTGGACTACCAGTAAGGTTTTAACATAAACTTTTTTCTTTGTCCTGAGGAAGGGACAGGGCGTCCCGAAAATATGACATTTTTAATTGTTCGTGTCGTTGGTCATTTTTATTGCTTTACATAAAATTCAATCTCTGACCTTGTATCTATTTAATAGATGCGACACATAGGATAAATAGTGTTGTAGGTTTTCTAGTGCTTCATATATATATATATATATATATATATATATATATATATATATATATATATATATATATATATATATATATATATATATATATATATATATATATATATATATATATATATATTGCTGTCATAGGCAATGCAGTGAATATTTGAGCAATCAGTTTATCTAGAGCAGTTAGTGACAGATCTTATAATGACATTCGTTTTTCATTTTCGGTTTTCAATATCACAGAGCTCGCCAAACGAGACGAAAGTGATAGAGGATACGGCCACAGTAAGTAATTATATCTATAAGGCCGATATTCATATGATTGACAATGCATTTCACACCTCAGCATAATTTTGATAGATTTGTTGGCATTTTCCTCACTAAAGCAATATATTATACAATATATTAAAGAAGATATAAATTAAATGTGGATTCTCAAAACCTCAAGAGAACTTTTAGAACTTTTAGAAAGTTTGAAATCAAAAATATATTTCCAAAAAGCAATAGCATCAAACATTTGACTTTTCTTACACTCTATACCACCATTTCTTACGAAAAATTATACACCAAGCTCTTTGATTTCGTGAGATAACTGCTTCTTCAATAGAAAATGGAGCTTTTCGTATCAGATCTTATTAAAAAAATCCTAAATAAGAAGACTTTTGTTGTGACTTTCAGTTTGACATTTAAATATATCGATGACCTTTTTTAAAAAAAAGTTACTTTCAAATTGAAAGTTCCAATCATTTTGATATATTACAATATATTTCAATGAACTCAAAATAAAGGACACTACAGAGTCTGTCACATCTGTTTCATATTTCAATATTTTACCGATTATAGACGACAGTGGTCAATAAAAACTTTACTATATGACAAACCTGATGACCTCAGTTTTTCCATCTTCATTCCCTCCTATTTTTGCGTTAATTTTCAACAATTACCTTTATATTGTGCTGATTCGACAGGCGAGAGCATGTTCTGAGTATGATGAATTTTCAAACAGAGGCAGACTGAGAAATACCTTGAGTTACAAGGCTTTTAACAATCTCTTTCAAAGTGAGCATTCCGCAAACTCTATGATTGATATAATGACCCTGTTTTGAAATACAAGCTATCGTTTGTTCGTATTTTGACTGAAGTTTCATATCAATTCGTAGGCCATTTTTTGTTCTTTTTTGAACTACTAATTATTTCGTTTACATAAAAAGTAAACTGGGCTCATAATATGTGTGACTTTTTGGTAGAAGATGATTACTCCGTCAAGGCATCTGATATACATCCATTTTTTAACATGTTTAAGGGGTCTGTGTTTTCCCTGTTCACCATTCGTATTGTTTACAGGATTTATGAGTTCGATAACATTACGTTATTTTCAACTTTTCATGCTTACAGTTTTTGGGTACATTGAACAGTTTTACGGGAACACGTTCATTTTTTGACTTTTTTTTTTGTCTATTCTGAATAACAAAAGTAGATGTACATGTGTATAGATGTACCTCTCTGTACGCAAACATAAACGCAATAATATATACTGAGTAATATAATCATATAATATTGTTTGATTCATGTATTTCACTTCCTTTGTAATTATATAATTTTTTTAGAGACAGTCAGTGTAACTGAAATAGTTGTCTATGGACAAGTACTTTCATGAGACCAGTGATATATTCTAATATATATATATATATATATATATATATATATATATATATATATATATATATATATATATATATATATATATATATATATATATATATATATTGATTTTTAGTTCCATATCGTGAGTCAAAGCTGACTATGCTACTGAAAAACTCCTTGGGAGGAAACAGCAAGACAGTAATGGTAAGATGAAATGCACTCAGAAGTCAATAAATGGTTAATTAATTGAAGAATCAGTCGTTTTGTTGAATCCCCAATCGATGTTCATATCCTCACTCCTCATTCCCATATGTTTTCTGTATGTTTGAGAGATGGTTTTCCCCGCCTAACACAAATAAACTTGCATATATGGTTCATCTATGAACGTTTTCTCCTGTGCTTGTTTAGTATGCCCTTAGTATACATCTTGTCTGACTCCTATGAAAGTTAGTATTCATGTCATTGTCTTATCACAAATGCTATGCAAGACAAGTCTGAATATTTAGTGCAATTTTTAAGGCTTCATTTCACACTGAATTGTCTAAGGATTAATTTTTCCGTTTGCTCGATCATGACAAGGAGCACACGGCGGAGTGACCGGTCGGCAGGTGATGTTCATTACTCCATGGCATCGTCCGTGTTTTCTCTGCTCAATTTGTATTGTTTAAATGAATTTTTGAGCTTGATTCCTGTTCGTTATCTTCATATTTCATCAGGGGAAATGCTTTAAAGGGGCATGGACACAGTTTCAACTGAATTTTGTTTTACCAATTTTAATATTTACAATTCCTATCTTAGGCAATTCTAATGATCAGCAAAAATTTGAACATCATTTGCTGATTTACAAAGGAGATACAGAACTTAAAATTCTTCATAACGTAAACAAGTCTCGTGCCTTGTTTTTGTTTACATATAGAAAATATAATATTTATAACAAAATGAGATTCAGCAAATTACTAGAAACTGTCTAATCGTATTAAGAATTAACTTCTCTATTGAAAAAATCTGCTTTGAACGAACATATATTAGTATATTTAACCTATGTAAATAAAAACATGGCATGGGGCTTGTTTTCATAACAAAGGTTTGGCGCTAATAATCTGTCTTGTATCTCGACAACTGAAATTCAATTTTTTGATGATCATTAAAACTACATAAGTTAAGTATTTGTTTACATAGAAAAATGGAAAAATAAAATTTGAAAAACCGTGTCCATGCCCCTTTAAATGCTGTTCTGACTTAACTTTAATGCTTGATTGTCTCAGATTACTACAACTATAGATCTGTTTTTAACTTTTCATAAGAAATATATAAAAATATTTCCTGTCTGAAGATGATTCGGAAATGGAATCTTTCATATATAATATGCCTGAATGATTCTGGTGTTAAGGCATGTTTCTAACTTATCACAGGTGATATACTAACCAAACCTGCACCCCATTAATTATTTTGTTTAAATAAAATAGTGAATGTAACGAAAATTTGACACTTCTGAGACTCAGAAGAATACAAGATAAGCAAGTCCTTGCTTTTATATGTAATACATACACTGTAAACTTAATAATTTGGAGTATTTATATGTGTATGTTTATGCATGTATATTGTAATATTTAAATACCACGTTTTGACTGTGAACTTCTGAAGAACATTTTGTTCGAACAACTTTCAAAAACCGTCTATGAATACAAACATTTAAAAAGAAAAGAAAAAAGATAGTAAAAGAATTATATTTTTAATTACTCATTGGCTTACATATATTTACCTCAGAGATATCATTTCAGCTTGCAACTGTACATCCATTATCAAATAATATCGAAGAAACATTGTCCACTTTACGATATGGTACGTAAACTCTTTATTTTCCCGACACAATATTATTCATTTATTCAAATACAATTTAGTAGTAAAAAGGAGCTTTAAAAATAAAGACTGTAGCTTTTTGATTAATGTTTTTTACCGTAGATGAAAATAATCATATGCTTTTTATTTCTCAATTTACAGGGCAACCTTGTATTTGATTTCTTAACGCATCAAAATTATATATATAGTAATATAGAAAAAAAAAACTTTTACATATAAGGAGACTTTCAAACAAAACAAGAACAATTAAACCATTATAATTTCTAGCTTCAAGAGCAATGGTTATACGTAATGAATCTAAGGTGAACCAAACCGACTTACGTATGCAGGTTCAAGAACTGTTGAATGAGATAGACAGCTTGCATAAACAGTTAAAGGGAGTGAGGTCAGACGAAAATGCTGATAAAGAAAGGCTGATGAAAGGTATGTTGTAAATTAACTTTGCAACCAATCTCTGCTCGATGGATCACTGTACTGTAGAAAATAAATATTTCTTAGAAAAGTATGTTTATATACATTTGACAAACTTTCCTCTGTAATCCTAATAAACGTTTTGAAGCTTTTTCATTCTCACAGGACAATTATATGAAAATATTCGATTTATTCTGCATACGAATGCTTGCAAGTAATCATATCAAAAATTAGTCTTACAGTTCTTAAAAAATAATTTAAAAATGTCCTAAATATTCTTTTTGAAGGTTGTTGACTAGCTTTGCAAGATTTTTATTACTTACGATTATGATTTAAAACAAATTTAACTTACTCTGAACGAGAATGCTTGCATATAATATTGGCAATTGTAACCTTGTACCCTGTAAACTTGTCGTTCTAAGGACAATGATATTTCCAAAATATTTCTATGTAAAGCCTAAAACTCTTTTTGTTGCCACAATCCAATCTTTTAAGGTTATGTTAAAACAAAATGGATTCTTCAATCCCGGATAATGATTGCATAAGTTACTGAGGTGATATAAAAATTAAACAAAGGGATATAAATTGAACAGTTTGCTTACCAGCATTTTCGTTCTCTTGGATGGCAAAGGATGGCTTTAGAAAAGGTACAAGTCGTTTTTAATAATCAGTAAATCTCTCAATTTGATTGATCGTCTCATGTATTTAGCTTAGAGTTTGTATTTAATAATGCATGATACTTATGTTTAACATTCAAAATACATGTGTACAGTACATCTTAAATACAGAGGCAAAAGTACAGAAAATATTTTTAAAAATTACCGGGTATTTCCTCAAGAAGAAAAAAAACTGGAGGTGCAAGAGATATCACATAAATTTATTGAACGTTACTTTTCAAAGTTTATGATACTGACATGCAGAAAACTGACCTAAATGTGGGAAGGTTTCTGGTGAACTTAACCGTTGTTCTCCGATATGCAGTATGTCTTGTAGATCCTAGATCACCTTCATAAAATGTCATTTTACCTATAGACAAAATCCATTCATCTTGCCAGTATCTTTAGAGGGAAGAAATGACTTTTTAATTAAATCTGCCGGCGATTTTTACAGAAATTAATTTTTAAAGCCATTTAAATGATATTTTTGATGGCATTATTATTTTTTTTTTTTTTTTGAAATTTAAACTAAGTATGTTGAAATGTAGGGAATATCTTATCGTACATTTAATTACAGTAAAGAAATTGTAATTTGTATTAGTTTTGCATTTCAGAAATATCCATTTTGACGGAGAAGGTAAGATTGTCAGTAATTTTTCCATATGCCATAACAATATTTATAAAATACTCAACAATACGTACATTTTAGGAATTGTCTTTTATTACACTTTCGTCGTTTAACCCCCCCCCCCTTCTTTTTAAATAAACGTCATGATGTATAAGTGTAATGTAATATGAAAATTATCAAACATTTTGGCATTGGACTAAACTTTAAGTAACAAATATAAAATATAGATGAAATCAAGAAAATTCAAATTAACAGCATCATATCTGTAAATTTGTTTCAATAAATAGTAAAATAAGTTATGTTAAAGGGAATTTCTTAAATGGTTATGTTTGCAACAATGAAGGGTATATCATCTATTGTATCGGTTAAAATTACAGCATCTGAAAATGCCGTTAAAATACTGTCCTTTTTTTTTTTTTTGCAAAAAGCACTATCAAAATCAAAGAGTTTGAATGCTTGATGAGGGGGATGAAAAAGTGAGACCATATAAAATGTACTTTAATTTCTCTTTATAGCTGGCAGAGTCAGAAGATAAAAGTATAACATCAACAAAGGTTCTCTCTCTCTCTCTCTCTCTCTCTCTCTCTCTCGTTTTTTTTCTCTTTTAAACTTTGAAAGGTAAACGATGAAAAAAAAAATTATATGCTGCAAACTGTTACCTATATATGTCGATTAGGAATTGGAAGTTCTGGAAAATATTCGAAAGCAGGAAGAGGAAAGACAAAAAACAGTTCCTTACTTGCTGAATCTGAACGCAGACGAAATGCTCACGAGACGTGTTAGGTATTTCATATCAGAAGGTAAATTTCTGCAAAATATTTTAGTTTGTAGTTGAATCTATATATTGCAAAGAGAATTAAGAAAATTTTCACCTTTTTGGCCTTGCTTAAATAAAGATGAACAATTGAAAAATAAAGAATTGATTATATAGCACTTTTAAAATTCATGTTCAAATTTAGGGAACTGATAGCATCTAGCTTCTTATATTGTAATATTGGGTTCTAAAAAACATGATAATAACAGAAAAAATACAAGTGATTTATTCTTCAGCACTTTGCATATAAGCTATTATTGTGTGAATGTACATGAGCAAATCTCTTAAATCTTGCATTCAACTTTATTCTAAGAGAACATTTTAAAAGGTTTTCTTTTAACTTAGGAAATGTTCTTCAAGTTGGCGGTGAACGACCTACTGATTGTCCATTAAATGAATATATATTGTTGACAGGAATAGGGTAAATAGAATTGTGTGAGGGTTAAGGTCGATCAAATACTGATTTGGAACAAAAATATCTTTTGTTTTTTTTTTTTTTTTTGTTTTTTTTTTTATCAAAGCTTCATGATCATGATCAAGTTTCATGATCAAAATAGGACTTTAAAAACCTTTTCAGAGCCAAACCCAATTATGCTGTTCTTGAAAATCAGAAAGGAAAAGTATATGTGAAAGCAGAAACTGGATATGTTTTTGTTAAGGGGAAGGAACTCGAGAAAAATTTACCTCGTAGACTTAAACATGGATACACGTGAGTCTAATGCATAGCCATTTTTTCTTGATTACACTCTAATATTAAACATATCTTATGAATTGTTAAAACAAATTATAAAATTATCCATATAGATGACATTGAAAGAATGGCCGTATTCAATCGATTTCTATTATGATTTGTCATGTGCCCATGAAAATTTATTTGAAAGAAGTTTTGAATGATTATAGTAGCGAAGAGTTTATTTGAATATTATCCTGATTTACATATTTTTAAGGATGCATATTTTTTATGTTAAAGTAATTGTGTATTTTTATCTTAGAGTGATGTTCGGTCAGCTCTCCAGTATGTTTGTTTTCATTGATCAGAAGGCCGCATGTAAGAAAAATCTAGAGGACAAAGAAGCTTCAAATATTTCCTATGCATCAGCGAAAGACGATTTTATTAAATTTGCAGAAAAGGATGGGACGATTAAAGGTTCTTTTTTAAGAAATTAGTTTTACTGTATATCTATAGTCTGGTTTTTATATTTAACTTTAGGTAAAGTAGGAAAATGTTTTATAGAATTCTAGATGTATTTACATCACTAACATTTAGAAATTAAGAATCAGTTCTACCTTCTTAAAAACTTATACCCTACTACATACTTTAAGTGATTTTATACTGAACAAATCTTTTATCGAAGCATGTAAATCTACATACGAGTTTATCTATGGAAATAGCACATCATGGATATAACAAGAAATTTGAATTTGACCAATTCGAGCGTTTGCGATAATTCTATTTTAAAAATCTTTTAAATACCACCTAAAGTACATACGATAATGACGTTATGCAGAAACAAGCAATATACTCGTATACTAAAAAATATGTTCTTTTTCTTTCAGGAGATTCTTTGCTTCGAAATATGGTAGTTGTGAGAGACCAGGACATTAGAAATGCTAATGCTTTAGCAATAGAATTAAACAAACCACTAACTTTCGAGCTAATTCTAGTCAGTGATGCTTTTGCAGGAAGAAAGATGGGGAAATTACAGGTATGTTTTAAGTATCTTTTTTTCAGAAAGGAGATCATTTTAAGTTAAAAGAAAGTTGTCAGACAAAAGAAAGAAAAAAAGTTGCATAAAGCTAACTTTTACTGTTTCTAATGCAATTTCTTTATTTTATAATATTTGCATTTCATGAAAGTTTTCAAAATACTAGTAAACGAATGACTTAGGGTATTTAATTTTACATTGAATTATTCTTTTATATATAAAAATCTTTAAAGATATTCATAAAGGTGATCAACAAAGCTACAGAATGTGAGTACATCTGGAGTGAGGACTATTTTTTGGAGAAGTATGAGGCAATGGTTGCGTTCACAAATAAAGATGAATCGGTAAAATTCGATAGCTTTACTTAAAAGCAGCATAAATATAGAATTCTTGTTTAAGATTTTAGCTGACATAGAGCACATGCACAGGTTAAAGAAAAAACAAATCTCGAAGGCGTACTTAAAATATCTGGTTCCGGGGTCATAAATCTTAGATGAGCAAACTCTTGATCTCAGTCTCACTTTTCCGCTATATGGTCCTTTTGTAAAAGTGAGACCGAGATCAAAAGTGAGTTCGTCTAAGTTTTTAATTGCTACGGAGCCTGTATGTCTGAGGCAATATCCTCTAATATCCTCTTCTTAAAAACAGAAGGGATACTTAATGATTTTAGAAAAAAAAATTAAATTTCTGTGAGTCATATTAAAAAATGCAAATATCCACATGTAATGTAAAATTAAGTTTATTCAATTCCACGTCGGGCTAGGTCGAGCCAAAAAAGGAGGTCAAAATTTAACATATATAGGGATTATCTTTAAAAAATATCTTCACAAGTGCAGAAGGACTACGATTACTCATATTGATACACTCAGCTGTGATCTGTCCCAAATGTGCACGTGTCCATTCTTATTTGAAGACATCATGGCTCCTGGGGCTAGGACAGAGCCACTAGAGAGTGTCAAAGTTTGATATAGAAATATTAAAAGTCCAAAATGTTATATATATATCTGGTGAGCATTGTTTATCCGGCATTCGTCCGTCGTCTGTCATCTTTAAGCGCATTTTCGACTTCTTCTCAAGAACCACTGTGCCAATTTCAACCAAGCTTGCCACAAAGCATACTTGGGTGAAGGGGATTTAAGTTTGTTTACAGGAAGTGCCACGCCCTCTTTCAAGGGGAGATAATTAAGAATGTGTGAAAATGTGGTGGCGTCTTTTAAAAATCTTCTTCTCAAGAACCACTGGGCAAGAAAAGATGAAACTTATGTGAAAGCTTCATTACATACTCTATATTTGAGTTTGTTGATATCATAATCCGGGGTTTGGGCGGGACACAAGAGGAGGTCAAAGTTTTACATAGGAATTTTTAGGAAATGTCTTTAAAAATCTTCTTGTTGAGAACAACAAAGCAATGATTAGTCATATTATAAAAGAAGTATCCTCAGCTAGTGACGATTCAATTTTGTTCCAATCATGATCCTTTGGATAGGCCAGGGCCAAAACAGGGGGTCAAAGTTTACCATATGAATATATATGATATATCTTAGAAATCTTCTCAAGAATAGCTGAGCCATTAATAGTCATATAAATACAGAAGTATCTTCAGGTAGTGTAGATTCAAGTTTGTTCAACTCATGATCCACGGTGGTAGGGCGGGGCCAAAACAATGTGTTAAAGTTTTTCATAGGAATATATAGAAGCTAGCTAGAGAAGTCTGACGTTGATTCATCAATAAAGACGTTACGGGTAAGAGCAAAATAAAAGTATAAAAGTTTTAAACACCAGTGGCAAGTATCCTAGGGAATTGATGTTAAGTTCCGGGTGTAGTAAATCTGAAGAAGATTGAGACAACCAGTTCTTATCTATCAATGGGAACGTAGGGGAGAAACACGGTGTAAGTAGTATCTTACCCAGTCCCTGTCTCTAGATAAGAGAAAATTTAAGTACTGTATGATTTACCCTTAGACCGAGCTGTCTTAATAATCATTTCAATCATTAACTTAAACAGAGAAAAAAGAAAACCGACATATCCCTTGTAAGAACCTGATCATACACGCTACATAGGAAATATCTTTAAAATCTTCTTCTCAAGAACAACTAAGCCATTGTTAGTCATATTTATACAGAAGCAACCTTTGGTATTGTAGAATCAAGTTTGTTCACATTATGACACCAAGGGGTTGGGGGGGGGGGGCAGAGAGAGAAGTTTTGCATCAGAATCCATGTAAATTTTATACGGTACCAATTTTGATGCACCAGTTGTGCATTTCAAAAAATTATGTCTCTCAGTGAAGCTCATATCGAATCGTTGGAAATCCAAAATATTTAAATTTTAAAAAAGTCTTTGAAGAGCTGAAAAAAGAATCATTAAGAATCATTTTGAAAGAAAATCTTCTGCTCAAGAACAGCAAAGCCATGATTAGTCATACTATTAAAAAGCATCCTCAGGCAGTGTTGATTCAAATTGTTCAAATTTAGGGTGGGTAGGGTGGGGCCAAATGAGCGATCAGAGTTTTACATAGGAATACATAGGGGAAAAAATCTGTAAAATTCTTCTGTTTAAGAACAGCAAAGCAATGATTAGTAATATTAATATGGAAGCATCCTGAGGTAGTGCAAATTTAAGTCCCCCCCCCCCGTCCAATACTGAACTGATTTGTGCTTCTTCCTGGCCAATGTGCACAGGTCAGCGCTGTGGCGCATGGATCTCTTGTTATAATTTTCAGAAAAAAAGATATATAGTTAAGTATCAAATTCACTTGATTATGTACTGTTTTGTATAATTTTAATTATTCCTACATGATGTCATACACAGAGGTTACTGTAAGGTCAAAAAGGATATTAATTTGTGAATATTCTTTTTTACTTGGGTTGTCATCAACATATTGAATATCTGATAACTCATTTAATTAGCATTCCCATGTTTTGTGTAAAACGAAATTCCTCTCTTTAATCATTTATAAAATGTTAAATAAAGGGGTAAATTTAATCCTTAAAGTGACAGTATGGCTGCAAAACGTGTGTTTTTTCAGTCACATTTACCCAGTATATCATTAAGAAATAAGGTATAAAGTTGATGTCAACAGTTTGAGAAGCATTTTTTTCTTTGAAAGCGATGGAGATATGAGAAATGATAACATGTATCAACAAACCTGTCGAGGAGAACCTTGTGCAAGTCTCGCCGAGCTCCCGTTTCTTCAATGATTATATTAATTCCCAAAGTAAGATTTGGCCAGGAAATTCGCTTTTTTCAAGCTCTATTCTCAGGGGTTTTTTTTCTTCTTGGTCGACTTTGTCAAGGTAGCAGGCCTACCGAGCTAACCTCTTTTAGCATGTTGTTTTGTTTATGATAAACACGCATGCTTGAATGGCATGGAATGTGGAACCCCTAACACGTTGCGATGTACAAATGGATATTTATGGTTCATAAATAATTATTAATTTCAATGAAATACGTAATCAAAGTTATTTAGTTATGAAACTTGTAATTTTCTGAAAGTTTCTACATTTATGAGTAGTAAAAAAATTCCAAATCCTATGGTTAAAATTTTATCAAATCTGTTTTTTTTATGAGATGCGCCGTACTAGCGCTTTAACATGCTTCACTCTTCAAATTCACATTTCAGGTGTTATGTCAATCACCATACTGAATATGATCAAAGTAAGATGGAGTACAATACCATATAACAGTACAAAAAGTATTTATGTATAATACATGTAATTTGTTCTTTTTTAAGGTCAAACAGTGCCCTGAAGATGATCCGTTTTATATGCCTACAGACGCATTTACACAAATTGGATTTTCTGTTATATCCTTATTCCATATAAGTATGACAAGTAGAATAAAAGAAAAGGACTATCCAGTCTTTAATGAAGATGGTGAAACCATAGGTCAAGTAAGAGTCGCCATTGATCTCTGTAAAGCTGATGGAAAGGAAGCCAGATTCAAGAAAGAGAAATTAACCGTATGATTTGCGTATTTCTTTGTTTGGTGTACTAAAATAATTAATTGTATCATTTTAATTAAATATCTGGTTCAAAATGATATCTATAATATCATAATAGCATATACGAGGGGTGATCAAAAAGTTCGCGAACTAATTGAATTACTTCCTTAAAAGAAATAAAATGAGGTTTTAGTAGTGCTCATTATTTTTTAAAGTAGTCCTCTCCGATTGTAATGCACATCTGTCATTGTTCTGCCCATGCGTGATCCAGGCGGTCACGTGACATGCTCCGTGGCGTTCTGTTCACAGAGGCTAACAGATTTTTCCGAGTCTGATATTCCTTAACATGCAAGTTATTTTTTATAACAAGAACAGTCCATCTATCAGAAATAGCCACATTTCGGCAATAGGGTGGGTGGAAAAGGACATCCCTTTCCAGAATTAGCATGGTGATCATCAAAACCCGAGTGATCTGTCTCGGAAGCGTCGTTTATTCAATGTGGATAAAGTATGGACGACCTCTTGTTATCATAACTCATATGTTTAAAGTCTAAAGTAAACGATATTTTAGGGATTTAATAATTATATTATTGTTATGATATTCAACTATTTTTCGAATTGTAACTTTCATAACAAATTGCTCAACTAAGGATGCATCTTTTTCCCGGTTTGCTTTCGCTGGGCAACAGAACAAACATCAATTTTAACCATCTCCCTGTCTTCACTAAAACAATCAATCCAGTTAATGATTGAACTTCTGGTAAGTCTTTTGTCTTCATAAACCTTGTACAAATTATCATATTCTACTGCAAATGAATTTTTAAGATATACTTTAAACTTTACAACCATTCGTTGCTCGGGTACGACTGAGTCAGCCATTTTTTGTATCAAGTCACCTACATATTGACGTCATTTTCACATTGTGACGTCATTAACATGGAGCAAAACATTATATAACACCAGTTATTTATAGAATATGTGTATGACTATGTGTGTACCAAATTTCATTCTGATCTGAATTGTGGTTTTGTAAATATAGAGATAGTTCGCGAACTTTTTTATCACCCCTCGTATATCTGAAATCTGAATATATGTACAAATCAAGGAGTAAACGTAAAATAGCTTTATATGATCAAAACAACTCTTTAATTCTTTTATAAGAGTAAGGCATATAAAAGTTAAAGCAATACAATCAAAACATTTCATAATAAATGATTTCAGGAAAAGGCAATGATTTATCCAAAAATTAGGATAGGTCAGGCAACGTTTGGAAAAAAGGATATTCAGTATGAGAAAGTAAGGAACTATGAATACGCTTTCATCTCAACTTAGTGAAATTTATGGAAGGTACCTTCTTAAAATTTCTCATGGACTTGTTCAAAACTCAGTATTACTTATTTTGTCAAACTTTTTTTCAGACTTGG